TTGGTGGTGTTGGTGGTGGTGGTGTTGGTGGTGGTGGTGGTGGTGGTGGTTGTGGTGGTGGTGTTGGTGGTGGTGGTGTTGGTGGTGGTAGTGGTGGTGGTGGTGGTGGTGGTGGTGTTGGTGGTGGTGGTGTTGGTGGTGGTAGTGGTGGTGGTGGTGGTGGTGGTGGTGTTGGTGGTAGTCGTCGTCATCGTCATTTCCGGACGCTGTCGTTGTCGTTGTCGCTTCGCATATGCACGATGCCTCGAAAAAAGATGGGGAGTTACGGTAAGTACGTACGAGTTATTGGTTCGTACGAGTTACGACGAAATTAGTCCGGGAATGTTTTAAAAATACTGTTTAGGGTTACGGACGGGTAACACTGTAAAGGGCATTGCAACATAACTGCTCATCAAATTCAATCAAACTCATATCCATTACATAAGAGAGATGTCTCTCTACGCTCTCGATGAAAAAAAAATTAAACAAATTTATCGCTAATTAAGTGACGGCAAAAATTTTGAATTTATATTTATTATTATTTATTGAGTTTTTTTTCAGAAGCAGCAAAAAGTTGGGACCTAAACGTTTAACCATAAGTTGTTCATAATATAAACTGAAAAAGGGTCCCTGGAATTTTTTTAAAATGCTTTAATTTAGGAAATAAGCTGAAAAGATTTTCAAAACGCAACAATATCGTAAACAAAGAGCTATAACTTATAAAATATAATATTTAAAACAAATTCGTTCGATTTTTTTTCCTTTGATATGTTAGCATTAAAACGTAACAGACATTTTTGAATCGGAGTTGTGAGTTTCGAGAAATAGCGTTTGAAAAGTCAGCAACTTTAGCATTTCTAACAATGGAGATATTAGCACTTTTCTAAATTTCCCATGATTGAACGCCGTCTCATTGTTACTACTTTTTCTACAAGTACTGCAATTTCTAAAAAATGCGCATTTGCGTCTACACACAGCAGTTAGAACCCCCACATTTCGTCCCACCTTTAAACATGGTGTCGCGTTACGACAAGTCTGGTTACGTTTTCTCGAGTATATGCGGCTATAACGTTTTGCGCGCCTTTCTGCGCTCTCAATACGTTTCGGTTCATAGCTACTGCTTACCATCTAATACCAGTGGCATAGCTTCATTACGATGGAACATCCATGGGTTTTGCAATGAGCCTTGTGGTTCTACAACAAACCTGTATGATTACATATGCGTGAAATAATATATGTAGCCGATTAGAAAATTAAAAGATTGATGATGTTTCCAATATCTGTGAGATTTGATTTCTTACTATAATGATATAACAGAGGCTGATATAATGATAATATATATAATGATAAAGATAATAATATGATATAATAATAGATATATATATATAGTATTGAATATGATATAATGATAATATAACGATGTAGGGACCTTTAATGATATAAAATTTATATGTCTATCAGATTTAGAACCAAACTTCTTCATCAGATTAGTGATGCACAACTAATTTATTATATATTCGCCTACTTGTTTCTTTATAATGGGTGTCATATTGTTGATCTGCATATTCTTGTTGTAACCGGTCACCAGTGTGATGCCTGTTTTCTGAAACGAGTCCGAAGCCACATAAAATTAGGTTTCTGCGATAACACAATATAATGTATGTTCTAAATTAATTCATTAGCTAATTAATGCATAACAATTAGCGTACACTTGCATGAATATTAACTTGAGAACTGAAGACGTGATATAGGCCTTATTGTAAATCCCATTGCGCTATCGCTCCATAATTAACTTTCAAGATACACGAAGCTCTATTTAAATTAAGATGTACATATATTCAGTTGACATACAATAATTCCAGCATGAATGCCGCGTTATTACATTGCTGAAATAACTTGATTGACGCAAAACACCAGTATCAACAACATATATTCTCTACTGTTAGGATTACGGACGGGTAACACTGTAAAGGGCGTCAAGTAGTTCTCTATATTACTAGATTGAACCGATACACAGTAACGTTACACCATATAGTGCTCAATCATGCACTGGCATTTAATGTATACATTTATTTTACGTAATCACAGAGAAATAAAAAATTCAGCAACGTATAGCACGGCGTAATTATTATATCGTGGCCACCTTACAGTGCTGGTTAGTGTTATAGACGGCGTAAACCCGGTAATACCACTCAGAATTGGGGCATTCTAATATTACGTTAGATTTCCTATGTATGCTATATTTTAATAATAGAGATTCACGATGATTCTATCGCGACGCTCACTTCACGCCACGCGGAAAGCTCGTGACCTGTTATATAAAGGAGCCGATATCGCAAGAATGCCGGCACGTTTCATCACATAAAACAATAACTCGTATTTATTAGTCACTTTTATTGAAAACTTCTACCTTTTCGCGCGACACAGAGGCGCGCTGCATGTGACGGTAATTACATTACTGCGACATTCGATTCTAGCGGCGACTCGCCGTACGAGTAAGAAATTCTACGAATTAATAAGCGCTACTCACGATCGCATGTTCATATCTGCGACTTAACGGTGCATGGGACGTACATATGACATTTATATTACCAGAAATATAATATCACATAATACACAAGTGTTATCTTAAATCTGATATTATACACATATTGCAGTAAAAGCAAGCCTTGTTATACGTGTAGTATAATGTAGTTTTGTTTCATGACAATAGATGACGAACTATATTAATCTCATACTCATAAAATGGATAAAATCGCGCACATGACAATATGAGAGAGAGAGATCTGTATAGTGAAAAATTAGATATGACTACGTAGCCCTGATTATCCCTGCCCTGTCTTAGACATGTTATTCAATTATAAATATATATTTTAGAAATATATACCATAAACCAAACGACTATTAAACCTCCAATATGTATATAGTGTTAATTTAAATGTAGAATTTCCAACGATTGGGTTTTTTATTTTAGTTCACACGATTTATATTAGATGTATAGATCCGGAGTGTACGTGCCATTATAAAAACATTATAACAATGGTCGTATAAAAATTATAATTACAAAATTAGTTGCTCGGAAAATACGGCGCTCAGTATTGAGCACGGAATGGGCTAAATGATTCTCACGATAACTTAATATTAGTCTAATCTAAACCCTGACCAAGTGCTGACCACATGATCTATTAAATAAGCTCTCTTTCTAACCAAATATCGTGTGGACAGAAAAATTCAATGTTATTGCTTGGTTATAGCGTTGCATAGTGACATAGGAACAGCGCGTGCATCCGTTCATTTGGCAGCTGAGAGAACCTGTATAGAATCGAAACATGGATATTCATAAACAACTAAACTGAATACTACGACGCGTCATGTAGACATGCCAACACACATGTTTGATAATATAATACTATAATATATGATAAAATGGTGAATTACACTTACCTGATATACCGGTTGCAAACCCTAATATCACGACCGAGCACTGAAGCCACCATAGCGGTACCGCATAAACAACTCGCACGACCATATCGACTGTTCTCGATGGCGTCTCGGCGCGGACGTAGTCTACTTTATAGTTTACCTTTACCAAACAGCTTACGGTTATTCGTTGAAACTGTACGCGTGCCTAACGACTGGTCATCGATTCCCCGAATGGGGCTTGTGATTGTTCTTTAGTTTCCGTGTGTAGCTTACGTCCGGTTGTTGATTTACTGTTTAGCTTAAGATTGTTCGTTAGTTTCCCGTGTGTAGCTTACGGTCAGTCGTTGATTTACTCTCTGTTGCTTTCGAGTAGTCGTTACTTCCCTGTGTATAGTGTACGACAGGTCGCTAATTCACTGTGTATAGCTCACTACCAGTCGTTGAGACCTTGTGTGCAGTTTACGACTGATCGTTTTCCTCTGCCTGGAGCTAAAACCTGACCGTATGTATCCTGTACGTAGCTTACGACTGGTCGTTTGATTCTCGTGTCGTTGACTAGTGGTTGTCACCATGCGCGTAGCTTCCAATTGGTCGTGTGTAGTTCACGAGTGGTCGTTACTACAATATATGCAGCTAGTTATACTGACCGCTCGTTATTTGTGAGTAGCTTACGACTAGTAGTTGCTCCCTCTGTTTGACTTACGGCTAGCCGTTGGTACCCTGTTCGCAGCTTACGACTAGTCGTTCTTTGCTTGTGTGTGATTTACGACTGAATGTCGTCTTCTTTGACCTTCTGTCAATCGTAAGTAAGTTTCTGTTACGCCCCATTCACGTTCAACAGCATGTAAGCGGATCTTTTCTAGCGCGAGTTTCTACGGCATCTGGGTCAGGCTGCTGGTCTTTCGTATTCGTTGTCCGTCTTGTATGGAACTACTTAAAATAAAAGCCACAGAACTAATCGCGTTCCTCACAGATGTATTTCACGCTTGTCAAAGCTTCTGTTCTCTGCTTGTCTACGATTAGTACCTCGTCGCACACTCGATATACATGCGAAATACTTTGCTCTTGGTCGAGAATTATTTAGCTCATGCCGCCGTTACACTAACGCATCGCCCAACTGCAAAACCGACAAACTTCGTCTTCAATGCTGCAGTGCGCTGGCGACGTAGATCTGCAGCATAGCGCAGTCTGGAAGCTCTGTGATTAATGCTAGATAACTGCTGATACGTCTTGCCGATATTTGGACGTTAGCAATAAAGAACACGGTCATCGCGTGCTAGATCGCGCAGGCTCGTTTGCTGCGATCAACAGTTGTCGGCAGCTTTTAGCATGTCCTCCTATGTGCGTGCGCGCGCGCGTATATATATATATATATATATATATATATATATATATAGT